AAAAAAAAAAAAAAAAAATTAGCTGGGCGTGGTGGTACGCACCTGCAGTCTCAGCTACTCGGGAGGCTGAGGTAGAAGGATCGCCTGAGCCCAGGAGGTTGAGTCCGCAGTGAGCCATGGTCATGCTACTGCACTCCAGCCTGGGTGACAGAGTGAGACACTCACTCAAAAAAGAAAAGAAAAGCAAGAAAAGATATATACTGAGCACCCATAAGGCACACACTACCTGAGACACAGGGAATACAGAAAGGAGTAAAATTGATCCCAAATGTCTAACAGCGGGGGTGTTATGATACAGAAAGGCTATCCTTATTGGAGAAGGAAGCTTTAAGGTGGGCTTGAGAAACAAAGAGGATTTAGAGGAGAAGAATGGGTGACTCCAGGCAGAAAGCACAGCATAGGCAAAGGAATGGAGGCCAAAAGTATGACTGAACTTGAAGGAGCACTCTGGCACGGGTCCTGGGATGCCAGACAAAGGCAGGGGCTGAGGGCTGCTCCTGAAAGGCCATGGGGATTGGTGAAGGCTCCCACCATGTCAGCAGGGCCGGCTACCCCTTTAGGACTGAGTCGCCACAAGGAGGGCTGTTAGTTTCAGGGTCCCCACCAGCCCCAAGAAACTGGTCCATCAAGGAAGTCCCAGCTGCCACCCCCTCATCCTGCAATCTTCTCCTCAGGTCTGCCTTCTGGCTCTCCCAAGGGTCTAGCAGACCTCCGAGGTGCCTTCCTTCAGTTCCTGGGCTGCATGGGCTTCTCTTCTCCACCACCCTACAGGGCATCTCTGCCCGCTTGGCCATTCCAAAACCGAAGCCACTACCCTTCATAGCCCAGTCACTCAGGACCGCGCAGACTCCCAGGTCCTCCCTGCCTGGCACAGCCGCGCAGCCCAGCACCACCTCCTTATACGCTCAGAAGTCCCTTCCCATCCAACCGGGGAAATCCAGGGTACCCTCCAGCTTCTGCCTCTACCCTGACACCACCCAGATGAGGAACCTGAGGCACAGAGAAATAGTGGGCTCTCATGAGACCTCGTGGCAGGAAGTGCAGCCCAGGGGTTCAAAGCCGAGACCCAGAAACCAAGGCTGTCAGGCTTAAGGGGTGGGAAGAAGGGACAGGAAGCCCCCCCCATATCAAGTAGCTGGGCCCTCCAAAAAGACCAGGCTGCTGGGCTCAGCGCTACTCCACCCCCCCCCCCAGCTGGCATGGCACAGATTCAAAGGATTCTCAAAGGATTCCCACCAGCTGTGTCCCACAAAGCAGCACCAACCACACCCCCTCTTCATGCCCCCTCCCTGCCCCAGCTCGCTCAAGCAGCAAAGGCCCAGGAGAAAGGGAAGAGATGCCCGGTCGTGGCCGACTGTGACTTGCCATCCTCAGGAGCTGGGCTGCATCTGCAGGCCTTCCAGATGTCCCTGGCTCCCTCCTTG